GTTCGCTCCTGAGGCAGCAGGAAATCAGACTCCCCTATGATCAACTCCTTCTCGTTCCCTTCATTGATACGACATGGCCCTGCTAAAGCACTTTCCCTCATTTGTCGAATCAACCCTCGTTCCCTCTCGTAATATGCTTCCTCGTCCTCTGTGATGAGGACGGGTACCGGGCGGCACTTCTTATCTACCGTCTTGTACCGCCTTTGAGAACCCTGCTTGAGCCGTCCCCTAAAAAAGGCCGACTCACGGATTGTGTTTGCGCTGATGCGGGGTTCCCTCTACTGCCTGGGAGCCGATATACCAGTTCCAACCTTCCTGCCTCAGGGCATTCCAGAACTTGTTCCCTCAAGGCCTGGATGGCATCCGGATCTGCCATCTCATGCGTGGCCACCAGGTCCATGGCCTTCCCAACATCTGAAAGGCTGAGGGAAAATACTTTCACCCTCTCTCCTGCCTCGGGCTCTGCCCAGAGCCTCCTGCGCTCCCCTTCCGATTCCTCGATTGTGAATGATCCTAGATTGGGCCGGTTCCTTATACTCCTTGGCCCGGTATTCCTTCAAGTAATTATTTCATAATTTCCGCAGGCAGGATCGCATAAGAGGAGGATCAACGTCCCATCATGTTTGTTRAACATCACGGTCTCTGTCCTGCTTAGGAATGACCTCCCCAGGAGGATTCCATGATCCACGTCTGGCATTATGAAGAAACATGCCCTGGCCTTCACCTTTCCAACCTCGATGAGCAAATTCGAGGCTGTCCCGCAAAACATGGCCTTACAACTAGCTCCATGCAGAATACCGCAGTCAGAACGGTCTATATCCAGCCCGAATCTGATCGCGTCCGCCTCTCGAATAATGTTCATCTCCGCCCCGGTGTCCACCATTGCTGCGCACTTGGAACCCTTCACCATCAAATCCACCGTACCGCAGGCTACGCACTTCCAGTCCATCTTCGTATCTGACTCTGCCCACTCTGCCTCCTTGGGCAGGATCGTACCCAGATGGACATTGGGCACCAGGCGCCGTGATAACCTCCCCTT